CCGGAGCCAGAGATGCCGTGCTCTGCTTTCTGCCGCCGCGCCCGCCGCGACCATTCACCACACGGGAAACGAAACGAAACGATTTCGCGTGCACCTGGAGGGCCTGGGCCGGCAGCTGGTGCTGGGCTAGACCACCGCACCGTCGTACCTAGAATCCTTGATGGGCAGGGCAGCTTGCCCAGGTTGGCTGTCAGCCTGTGTATCCTAATCCTATCTCTTGATTCTGAAAATGGCATCCGTGACTCTTCAGCCAATGCAAAGATCCTGACACCAATGCAAGGACACGCTAAAGCACAACTTGTAACTAGTGTAGTGTTCAGATCATCACGATCACGCGGAGTATCAACGCATAGGCATTTCGTGATACGCATAATGATGTCCATGACCGCGATTAGGAAACATGCAGACACAGATACAGCTTGGACTCCTCACCTTTAATTTGTTTCTTGATCATATAGAGAGCTACAAAGACAGCTATTCAAAAATATATAATAACAGCAAATCAGCAATACTCCTACAACAAGAACACAGTTAAGCACGTTTCAAATAACAAACTGTCCAAGTATGCTTCACTTGAAGCTTTATTTATTTACTGAATGTCGAGATCCCCCGCCAGGAAGGACACATCCAAAAGGCCGTGCATCAGTTCTATATGGATACCTTATACTGTATATGGTTACATCTTTAATTTAGGTCGTGCGATTATCTATATGTATATAATTACTTGAGTAGTCTAGTGATTTTCTGCCTCGCCACAGTTCTGCGTGGCTGCCACCATCTCGATCAGGTCCATCTCCTCCTTCACATGCACAGTTTCGACATGAGCTGCTGGTCCAGCAGGCTCAGCAGTACACCTGAGGGCGTCTGCGTCGTCATCCCACATCATCATCATCTCCATGTCTATCTCAGGATCCACCTTGATCGCAGCATGGTCGATATGGTTGAAGATGTAGTTCATGTCGATGTCGTCGTCGTCCACGGTGGTGTACACTTGGAAGTCGTCCTCGTTCGTGTCGAACAGACTGTCACACATTTCGACTGAAAACCCGTCACAGATAGGGGCAAGAAGCTCTTCGCAAGACTGAGACGCGCTGCAGTTGTTGTACTCTTGCATGTTGGGAAGAAGAAGAATGCCTTGGGGATCCAGTATGTTGGACGACGAGCTGTGTTCCAGCGCTATTTCATCAGTCTTTGCTGACTTTGCTCCGAGAGTTTCAGGTGAGGACGGTGACAGTGTAGGTTCAGGAAGAGGTGCAGCAGCGCTCTTGTTGCTTGGGCCAACAATACCAAGGCCTTTGATGTAGCTCTGCAGAAGGGTGCCTGATTTGGGCCCCTTGGAGCTAGTACGGCTCCGCCTCCGTGCAAACTGCCTTCTCTTTGTTGCGTTCCAATGGTTCTTTATGGAGTTCTCTGTCCTGCCGGGTAGCCGCTTTGCTATCTCTGCCCATTTGTTGCCCACTTCCTTGTGTGCTTGTATCAGAACCATGTCTTCCTCGTCACTCCAAATGTCTTTCTGCATGCATTTGAGGTTCCATAAATAAAAGGAGGTTAAATGGATGAATGAATTGTATTGTCTAGATATTATCATAATGTCATGAGCTTTTTTATATCATAAAACACCTCTAAAATTATAGAAACCTGAATGGCCATTTTCACGCCTTAAATTTCTTGTGTTTCCCATATTTTCTTTTTATATAAAGAATTTCCCAATTACTAATGGCGATTGGCTAACTCCATAGATTTCATTTTATTTTTATTTATTTTTTTGGAGAGAGTGAGGGGGGTTTCTCATTGTTGTGAGTTGTGACCATCTATCATTCAGTTTTTTGAACTTGTTACACGATGTCAAGCTAAAAAGAATCCCTTTCTTGTTTTACTACTTGACAAAAAAAAATAACTAATACTCCCAAATAATAATGTACTTTAATAATAAGGTGAATAATTATTTGATTGTGTACAAACCCAAAATACAGTAACTCGTGACTTCTCTGTTCTCTCCCTTGTTCCTATCTCTCTGGTTAATCTCTATCCCAGTCTCTCCTCTCAGGCACTCAATGCATCTAATACACAACAAAAAATTACCAAGGCTGACTAGTAACTCCTAGAATTTATTACTGCGCCCATAATGCATGTTTGACCTATGACCATTCTAATATTACTAAATGTCAGAGAACCGGCCAAACAAAATAAAGAAATGTCCAGCACTGGAATACGGTAAAAACTAATCCCTTCGTTTTGAAATATATGGCATATTAGGATTTAATAAAGTCAGACTTCATAAAGTTTGACCAATAATTATTCAAAATATTTGCATACTTTGTACATAAAATTTGTATGGCTAGATTCACATCCTAAACATCTTTTAAATACAGATCGATTTTGTAGCAATTGATGATATATTGTAAGATGGTCAAAGTACACTTCTAAAGACTTCTCCAAATTCTAATGCGCCTTATAAAAAGAAGCACTGGGAGTACTATATAATTGATAAGAATGCATAGTTTGCTACATGTTGAGAAGCAACAGAATAGTATTGGCATTGAACCGAAGGATGTGCTCAGAAACGAAAAACGTTAAACTGATTAAGGAAGAAGTTTACCTTGATGTTTGGCCTCAAATGGTTGTGCCATCTTTCTCTGCACTGCTTTCCCACTCTTCCTGGCAGCAGTTGTGCTATGTAAGACCACTTCCTCAATCCAAATTGTTCCACTAATTTTACCAGCTTCCTGTTAAATTTTCCAAGAATGAGCTCATTGACAGATGAGAGAGAACAAGTCATGAATTACAGTAAACAAAAGAGAACTTTTACTTTTAGGAGGAATAAGAAAAAAAGTATTGATAGAATTTAACTTTTACCTATCTTCCGCTGGAGTCCACTGCCCTTTCACAACATTGACTTTCTTCAAAGAGGTCTTCTTTCTTGGCAGAAACCTGCCATTCATCTCATATGCCTTATATGATCCAAGGCCACCGTTCATGAGATTTGAAACCTCAGTTTTGGGAGTCAGAAGAGGCACTTGAATTCCAACTCTATAACCGACAGATGAACCATGGTCGAACATGGGCTTCTTGTTTTCTCTTTCTGCAAAGAACTGGTGTCCAAGGTCGTTGAAGGTTGCAGATGTATAGTCCCCAATAACTTCAAATGGATGATGATCAACAGGATGGAGCTCATAGCGTCCATTTTGCTGCATATACGGATCAAATGGCAGGTAACTACAAATTCCAGTGTGGGGCTGAAAGCAACTGAAATCCATGAGGATCTCAGAAGCTATGTAAGATGGAGGGAGAGAGATTGAGTTGCGAGTTTGCTATCTAATTGCATCTCTCAAAAAGGAGAATAGTACAGGATGCCGTACTAGTATTATATAGAGTCCTAGACAAGGCTTGTTCCCTTCAACACAACTACTTAATGAAAATTTAATGTTTTATTACTTATTGCTAGTTAATAACCTTATTTATTATCACTAATTCTTAACGACTTCTTGTATTCCATGGAAAGAGGTAATAAAGTGCCCTTCAATCTAAAACTTGACACACACATCTTAGACCTTACTGCTGCAGATATTGCTAGTGGTACAGGATATATCCAATATAGAGTGCATGCCATCTAAATCTAATGACACAATTCTATTCAGATGCTACGGAGAGTGACTGTACAATATAACTGCAGGCTTTGGAGGCATGCACACAAGGATTTTTTTTTTTTGTAGAAGCTACAGTGACCAAGTAATATATGGAACCGATTGAGGTGGTAATCAAACCTGGAGCTGGAGACCAAGTGCTGAGTGCAGCCGACGACCGTGTAGGTAATGGGATTAGGATTCTCTTGCCTGGTTATGTGTTTACAGAAGAAAAAAAATACTTAGCCCATGAGCTCTAGAGTTAATCAGTCTCCACATGCACCAAGATCACCTTTCGAAAAAAAAACATACACCAAGCTGATCACACCAGAATCACATGAACGAGCAAACATGGGCTCAGTAGTTTCCGACGCCGTCGACTCTCTACCTGCAAGAGGACCGCTGCGGAGTGCGGCGAAACTCAGGCGCACGGGAGGAGAGGATCTATGTCAGTGTCGCCGGCACGTCGCCTTGCGATACGGCGGCAACATAGAGCTGCCTTGCCACCGGATCCTCCGGCGGCGGCCGAGACCCGAGAGGACCTGACCACAGCTCGTCAAGACGGGAGGGGCTATCCGTTTCCATCGTGGGATGCCCGTGCCCCAGCGTGGCAGAGTGCCAGAGTTGAAGCGGGCCGACGGCGAACGAAAACCCATGTATACTATGGGCCTCAACCCTGCGTAGATCCAGGTCCAAATCTTTGGTCAGGAAATTTCTACGAGATTTTCCTCACTCGTCTTTAAAACTGGATTTTTTTTATCTCCGTAGCTTTTAAAATTATTTATTTTTGCACTTAGACTTTTTGCCTGGCGCTACGTGCTGCGAGGAGTAAATCAGACTTCATTAATACGGAGTAGTTCATGAAGATAAATCAGAAACTAATTGTTCGAAAAAAAGAAAACCAATATTTTTTATATAATATTTTAAATGTTTAAGGCATATATATACCACAAAAGTTTGGAAGAATAATACTGTACGGTACTAGTAGAAGATAAACAACACGAAATTTTTTCTCGGGCTCGACCAAAAAAATGATTTGTTTTTGGCGAAATGTAGAGGAATTTGGAGGGACTTTTTTTTTTTCTGGAAAGTTTTGACCCGGGAGACGGCGTCGCGGCGAGACGCTGAAGCGGTCCGGTCGGCTTGAGCGTGACGCCGACACGCCGAGTGGTTCCAGAAACCATGCCCAGTAACCGCTACGCGTCGTCACTCTCGCGGTCTCGCCTCGTCCCCACCGCCCACCCAAAGCCCCCAAAGCGCACGGCGCACTGTCGCTGTCGCTGTCGCGGCCGAGGAAATCGAAGCTGCGAGCAACGCGATCGAGCGCGACGCGGGTGAGAGCCGTGAGGGAGGGCCTCTGCCTCTACGGCTGGCGGCATGGAGAGCGCCGTGCTCGCCTGCGAGGCGCCAACCGCCGGCGCCGCCACGGCGCCTGGAGCGGGAGGGGACGGAGGAGCCGGGGACGTGGTGATGCTGAGGCGGTCGGTCCTCGCGGCGTGCCTCACGTGCCCGCTCTGCGGCCGCCTCTTCCGCGACGCCGCCACCATCACTGAGTGCCTCCACACCTGTGAGTAACTCGCCGCTCCGCCAACCTTTCAGTAACTGGCGTGCATAGGTCTGCTCGGGTCCTGTAGCTCGCTCAAAACCTTTTTTTCTCGGCTGCTGTGTCGTGGAACGTGGAAGGTGGTCACGGCTATCCTTCCGCGCTTCGGATTTGAAATTTTGCAGTGATCTGTCTGGTTTTTGAGGTGATGCGCGAAAGGTGGCATCTTCAGGCTTCAGTCGCCCAAGCGACAAGCGTTGAGAATTTCTGAAAAATTACGAGGGTAAAGGTGTGCACTTTTAGTGTGTGAAATTCACATCATCTGTAATTCTGTATGTTTGTTACGGAGTGGGTACGCTCTAACTTTCCGGGAATGGAAGGCATGGTTCACTTTTGCACTGTTTTTTTTTTGGAGGGATTTGAGGTGATCAGCGCTGTTGATTGCATGAGTGGTGGTTGCTGCGTGTGCACGCCATGATCCATGAGAAAATCACATGGACCCTGTTTTTACTGGGAGTGTGTTATGGCCTTATGTTATTTATTTGTTGCGCAAGTGTTCTAAACTTAATGTTCACCTGAAAGTGTTCTAGCCTTGTCGTTTCATGCAAAATGAATTACATAGGTTGTTTACTGGGGGTATCTAGTGATGTGAAGCTTTACGCATAACATGGCAACTGTGGTGTTTCCACGTTGTAGGCCGGATGTTTTCTAGATTGGTCTCCTAATGCAGCAAAACACATCACAAACCTTTCGTTGTGCTGGGAATAGATGCATATCGCATTGCATGGAAAAGTGTTGCATCATTTGTTTATTTTATAGGTAACGCTTTCTGGAAAAACCATTGACTGGTAGGTTGGCTGTTCATTTCATTTCTGTAGTGGTTGGGGAAAGAAAAAAAAAGTTAGAAATTGCTAATGTCGAGCACCATTAGTCCACTAGAAAATAGAAGCGCTGCTCAACCTGTTTCTTCACAGCTTTGGGTGAGTGTTCCAGTGTGTTTGTAGAGTTGACTTGGAATGTTTGTAAAGACGACTTGCTAATCTCGTTCATGTGTGTGAAATGTATGGTTTTATGCTTGAAGAGTTGCTTATATGGCCAAAAAATGGTGATATTTCATTTATCCTGTTCTGGTGATTCTGCAATGCACCATCTTGAGAACAAGTACGGAGTATGTTATACTCTTTGGTCAGGAAACAAAGTCCTTGTTTGTGGTGAGGTACTGTAGCACATCATTAGTGGGAGAGCCAGAGAGGGGCAAGGACTTCGTTTTTTTATCTATGTAAAGAGTGCTTTTAGCCTTAACTGAGGAAGATGTGCTAACTAATTTGAAGTCACTTCCTCAAGCCACACCAAATCGCCACCTTTCCCTTCAGGTTTCAGCTGTGCTAGCTGTGTAACCAAGTCGGGCTCGCTGCTGGTAGTACCTAACAGTGCTTGGCATAACAAATACAGTATTGTACTACTGTGTTCATTTATTCTTAATTGGATTAGTATCTTCCAACAGTTTTTCTTCGTGAATCATGATTGCGCCTTTGCCATTAATGTTATAAATACCATCAGTTTGCAGGAAGTGCATATCAGAGGAGTTCATAAATAAGGAAGTATGCTGCTGCCCTATTTGTAGCATTGATTTGGGCTGTGCTCCATTGGAGAAACTCAGGTTCGTTTTTTTATTGAAATATACTTATATTGTGTGTGGTTGTATAGTATTGCATTATCTTGGGCTGTTTCAATGAACCATTTTGAGTTATGGCATCAGCTTTGATGCATGCCAGATGCATGTCAGTTGTCAGCTAGTGTTAGTGTGCAACATAGCGGAATATACAGGGACAAATCTGTGAAAATGTTCTCCAACATTCTCTCTAGTATCAAAAGTGAGTTAGCCTTTAGCGATCTACTATTTAAATGTGCCGTCCTGGCTTTTGACATTCCCCTGCATCAGCACCCTGCCATGTTGGATCATCTTGTTTTCACAATGACACCATTGCATTACCATACCGCTGCATTGGTTGCATCATTTAAATTGCTACTGCTCCATGTAACCTCCTTTTGTACAACCTTGGCTATCGGGTGGTCTTGACATGATTGTAAATATGCTTTATTTTTTTGGTAACTTCTGAAATGCCAAGATTGGCCCAGTAATCTGAACTCTGATAAATTATTCCCTTGCATTGAAGCAACATGCAACAAGAAAGTTTACTTTTCTGTATGTTAGTTTTTCTTGTAATGCACTTGATATATTTTATAGCTATAGCTTATGGCTCATGTCAACTAACTTTTTGTACAGAATTGATCATAGCCTACAGTATGTAAGGTCAAAGGTATTCCCTTTTAAAAAACAAAAGGTTGAGGGCCAAGAAGTAACATCGCCAATTACATCACCTATAAAGACGAAAGAACGGTCTTTATCTTCGTTGACAAAACATACTCCTCAAATGTCTATGCAAAAATGCTTGACAAAGAGGAGAACAAAAGCTTCATGCTTACGCAAACTCCCTTTGGTATGTAGCTTTTCTTTTACTGGATATCCTTAATAAACGATTGTGTTAAGAAATTATAAGCTAAATCCCCACAATTGAAAAAAAAAGTCTCATTATGTGTATATATAGGAGATTGTGTAGTTCACTCTTGCCCTTCTATTTTTCCTTTGTTTTGTTTGCACGGATGTGTTGAGCCTAAGAGTTCCTGTATGTGTTAGGCCTTTGGACATTATGGATGACACATGTTCACTTCCCTTGGAAAAAAGAAGACACGTTCAACCTTCTTCTATTTTATTTCAAACCTTTATAATTTCACATATATATCAATATCATGTTCCATGTTGGTAAGGAAGCATGGAACCTGAATACGATATATGCATGTGTCGTATGCAATTGCATTATTTTGTTGGCGAAGTTCTTTCATATCTGAACTTCCTTTAGTTCCTGCAGTGAGAGAAATTTCAGTGCTATTTTATGTTTTAAAATTGATTTACTTGATTGAAATTCATTGTATTTTGTTGTGACTAAGTCTTATTTACTGCTCCTTATGCCAATGATGCAGCACTCAACCTTGCGGGGCAGTAGTAATATCACAAAAAAATCTGGGGGATGGAGACCTTTAGGGTGTCACTTTCGAGCAGCTAAAAACAAAAAGTCTCTTAGATCTAAATCAGAAGATGTAATGACAGCTGAAAAAAAGACTGATGATCCAGTTGATGTAACTCTTGCCAGTCAAGCAAAGACTAAGAAGCAGTTTACAAGACGTGGAAATCTGGAGAAGAAAACTGGAACCAAGAAACTGTTGATTTTAAAGGGAAAACAGAAAAATACAAAGCCAAAGAATATGCCTAATAAGAGGAGATTGCAAGCATTATGGTTCTACCTTCTTGCTGCTTTTGACCAGTAAGAAACTAGGCTGCTTGTCTTACAAAGTTCTATTTGTTGTTTTTAAAAGGAACATCAGAAATCATGCTGTTGTGTTGATTGTTGCAGGAAAGGACAGCCTCCTCTACCGCAGATACCATCAAAATTTTTGAGGATCAAGTGAGTTTTCTCGACGCACTTTCTTGCTTGAAACACTATATACTTTTTCTGCACTAAGGGTGATTTCCTTACTCTGTTGTCCTAGGGATGTAAATTTGCCTGCTTCCTTCATACAGAAATACCTTGTGCAGAAACTTGATCTTTCAAGTGAAGCTGAGGTTTGTCTTTTATCTCCTAGTGACCATTAATACCAATTAGTTGTATCTCATAAGATCTAGCTCTTTATTTGTTTATTTTAAAAATCAATGCATATCATTTCGTGATTATCTTTTAATTATCAATGAAAACTGCGAGACATTGTTTCCAAATATTACTTCCATGAAGCTGTTTCACTTCAGAGAGTTTATTGCTATTATCTTTGTACTGAGCAACATCTACAAAAGCTAACAAACAATACTGCCTAGTGCCCAATGTCCATCCAATCATCTTCTGTTCCGTGGCCAACTCAGCAAAAACTCTGATTGCTTCCAAACTGATAACAAGGCAGTCAATCAGTTTGCTTCCGAAAAGAAAAGAAAAGAAAAGAAAAGAAAAGAAGAGTAGCCAAGCAGTCCGCAGTGAGCAACATACAGATTCTATGAGTGCAGTAGCCCCCAAAGTTTTTCGCATAGCTTAGTGCATTCGAATATTTTAACAAACTTTGCTACCATCGGTGGATAGTATAGATATGGCCAGTGTAGCAGATACCGTTTTGTTTCTCATTTCGTCTAGTTACAACAGAGGTGTGCTTGCAGGTGGAGATACTCTGCGGCGGCAGGCCAGTGAACCCAGGAATTCCCCTGCACGACCTAGCAGATTACTGGATTGACAAACGACCAAAGGGCCGAGTGCGGTCATCTGTGGGCACGCCTGCGGCTGAATTCGTGCTGAAGGTATTTTATGCCAGGTCAGGAGCGCCCCTTCCTGAAACTGAAAACAACAAAGATTGATGGAGAGCTTTCCCTTCGTTTCGAACCAGCAGGGTATCGTTTCATTCATAGGAACCATTGATTAAGGGTATCTTAACATGTACATAGATGCTAGTGTCGCGGCTTAGAAGCCTTCATGGGCTTACTATTATATATCCTTTAGTGTGTACCTAGGCTGTGTAATTATAATTGGATGAGACGTTGAGTCGTTGAGTGTGCTTGTGCTGTAAGCAGGGTCCAGTCGTCCTCTGCATGAGTCTACGCTGATGTATAGTGGAGTTTGTTGATTGAACTGGAAATTGTCACTGATTCTGGATGTGGCATAACAAAATGAGTATTGTTTCAGGGCATTTGGTGCTTAGTTTTGCCATTGTTAAGTCTGGCAGAGTGCCGCCCGTTCAACTCAATAGGGGTGCGTTTGTTGGAGGACGAAGTTGGATGGGATATGTTAGATCCATGGATATTGGGATAAGGATATTTGTGATGCATGTTTGGTTTTATGGATGGAGACGAATCATTTTTCTGATCGGTTGGATGGATGAAAGTGGATAGGATGAGAATAGTTGATTAATTATATCAATTATTTAAAAATAATAATAACTAATTAGACATTAATAAATATGCACTAATACTAATTTTATCAAGATAATAACTAATTTAAAATAAAATATATTAATTAGCACCACTAATATCCTAATTAGCACGCAAAACATGCACTAATCAACATATTATTACTTATCAAAACTAATCATATCATAATTACCGAGTAATAATATAACATACTAATAATCCTTAATTTATTTACTAATAACAAAGATCACAAGACATGGATAAGCTAGTCCGCCAGATTTTTTTATCAGGAAATCCAGCATCTGAAGTTATATTCCTTATCCATGAATTTGTTTGTCCTAGTGATCCATCCAACCAATCGCTGCATATTCATATATGGTTCCATCCTATCCTTTGATATCAACCAACCGAACGCACCCTAGCTGTATGGTTACGTAGATTGTGTCTGGTTGCCTCAGCCTAATGTTTCGTGACCGCGCTCAAGGAGCACGTTTTCCTGAAGACAGAAGCTGCTATTACACGGTTACAATTTGGGACCGACGAACGAGAAACGGGGTCAACCTCATCTAATCACCTAGGCAACGTGCTGTGCTTCACGCGGAATCCTCCAGCACGGATGGCCCGTTGTAGCCATCAACCGTAGCCGCTCGTTTGGAGGCGGAGAGGGGGCTGTCACGTCGGGTGTGAAAGTATTTTGATAATAATAATAAAATAAATTATAGAAGTTATCGATAATCCGTGAGATAAATTTATTAAGCCTAACGAAATCCTCATTAACATATGTTTACTGTAGTATTAGAAATTTAGCCATTTTCATTATCAGTTTAATTCAGAAAAATAACATCAGCAGGTTCGTGACGCCATATATGTGCATGTGTATATCTCTAACGAACGCTACAGCATACAGTAAAAGCACAAATTACAGTAATCAGAAAGATTAGACTGTACCCAGCGGAGGGTCCCATGCCGATGGCATCGGAGACTCCATTCGCATTAGTCGACATAGTGTGTTGCTCGAAGTCGCGGACCAGAGTTGGTGCAGGACGATGTTCGCAGGGCAGTCCCACGAACGGATCACCAGGAAGAAGACGCCTTGATGTTCCGCAAGCAATCACTAGGAAGAAGACGGGATCCAAAAGAGATCACCACCAGGAAGAAGACGTACGTGGACGAGCAGTCGCAGATCGCTCCCAAAAAACCTAATCGCCGCACACCCCGAGCAAGGTTCTCAAGCGGGCGAGGGTTCCGGAGGCACCTGCTCTCCCGCTGCTCCGTGCGCGCAGAAGTACGGGACGGGGAAACCAGAATGCTGCTGAGATGTGGTTTCTCTCGGGAGCGGTTGCGAAAGACGGAGATCTGGACTGACGGAGGACTCAGATATATGGGTGTGACGGGAAGGGAGAGAGGCAGCGGAGAATCCCAGGAGACGGAGAATCGGAAGCGGAAATGACGGTAACTGACGCAATCAGTTTGCCTCCACCATCAAAAGGAGCAACTCCCGTGATTATGTGGATTAAGTGGCAAAAGACTGGCCACGCCCGCTCGCTCGCTCGCCGCCCGCCTGCCTGCCACGCCACGCCACGGCCTCGGCCCGGCCCCGCCCGCGCCCGCGCCCACGGCCCGGCCGGCGATGGTGGCGGCAGCGCACGCGCGTGTGGCACGCCTTTATCCTTTTCTCAACTTCTCAATTTAGATGAATAATTTTTAACTATATAAGCTGAGTCAACGTTCAGTCAAAATCTCATATGGTATTGAACCATACAATGCTTAATGTTACGTACCAGAGTTTTATTTTATTTATTAAATATTATATGGGCCAAGCCTTATATCCAACAATCACCACCAAACTCTAGGGTTTGTAACAAAGTAGTCTCAGAACCACATTTCTTTTATATACCAGTGTTTCGATAGAGACTGTTAAGTTGAACATCCATCTAGAGCAATAGTTTCACTCAGTCACAACTGAACAATGGACTAGGCCTTGAATTGCCAGTTTTGTGTAAGGTGAATGTCACTAAAGTACTTAGCTGATACTTGACTGCAAAAGACATCCCCTCTATTTGAAGCATATAAGTCATACTCCAGTACCTTTCATGAGTATTTAGAGATCACCTAAATCTCATAAACTGTGACCAGCAGCCTGACTCATATAAGTGTGATCCTCAAAAGATGTTCTATAGGACAACATCTTTGCTTTAGCAAGCCGCTTGGAACACATTAAGGTAAAACCAACCTGCCTTACAGATAGAAAAGATGTGCATCAGAAATAAGTCTTACTAAGGATCTTTCCTCATAATTTACTACTAGCTTATTTTACCATTCTACTTCACGGGATCTCCGATCACATAAAACAAGTTACCACTATAGTAAATTTCAAGTGGGTCTCAAACCCATCTCTCTCGATACACTTTCTATCACATTGCGTGACATACCCTTAGTTAATTGATCTGCCAGATTGTTAGATGTGTGAACATAGTCCAACGCTATTACTCCGGAGTTTCTCAATTTTCTGACATATTTCAGTCGTCTCTTAACATGTCTTGTGGACTTCATGTTATCCTTAGAACTGTTAACCTTCGTAATCACAGTCTGGTTATCACATTTTATAGAAATAGTCGGTATGGGTTTTTCAACAACCGATAAATCCATAAGGAGTTCACGAAGCCACTTGGCCTCAGAGCTAGCAGTGTCTAATGCTGTGAGTTCTGCTTTCATTGTAGACTTCGTTAAGATAGTCTGCTTGCAAGACTTTTAGGAAACAGCACCACCTCCAAGTGAAAACACATATCCACTTGTGGCATAAAGCTCGTCAGCATCAGAGATTCAGTTTGCATCACAATAGCCTTCCAACACTTTTGGATGTCTGGTATAACGAATACCATAGCTCATGGTGCCTTTTAGATAGTGCATCACTCTCTTAAGAGCACGCCAGTGATCATCTCTCGGGTTTGACACAAACCGGCTCAGCTTGCACACAGCAAATGAGATGTCAGACCTAGTTGCATTAGCAAGATACATGAGCGAACCAATGATCTGAGAATATCTCAACTGATTCCTTGCTATTCTCTGATTTTTCCTCAATAGCACACTAGGGTCATAAGGTGTAGGAGCAGGTGCACAGTCACTAAATCCAAAGCGACTCAGTACCTTTTCCACATAGTGGGATTGTAACAGAGTTACCCCACCATCACCTTCTCTCAGAAACTTGATATTAAGAATAACATCAGCTTCTCCCAAATCTTTCATCTCAAAATTATTGGTTAAAAATTCCTTCACCTCCTCGATCACTTTGAGGCTAGATCCAAAGATCAGTATGTCATCAACATATAAGCACAAAATGACTCCCTCACCCCCACTATGCCAATATTACACACATTTGTCAGCTTCATTCACAACAAAGCCAGCAGATGTTCAAGTTTTGTCGAACTTCTCATGCCACTGCTTAGGAGCTTGTTTCAGGCCATATAATGACTTTAATAATTTATACACCTTGCCTTCTTGACCATTTGCTACAAACCCATCCGACTGATCCATATAGATCTCCTCCTCCAACTCTCCGTTTAGGAAAGCTATCTTAACGTCCATTTTATGAACGGTAGGACCATAAGAAGCTGCCAGAGAAAGCAAAACTCGAATTGTGGTCAATCGGGCAACCGGTGAATAAGTATCAAAGAAATCCTCACCTTCCTTTTGAGTATAGCCCTTGGCCACAAGCCTTGCCTTGTACCTCTTGATAATACCATCAGGCCTAAGCTTTTTCTTGAACACCCATTTACACCCTATAGGCTTGCACTCGTAGGGACGATCAACAATTTCCCAAGTTCCATTAGACATAACAGAATCCATCTCACTTTGTACTGCTTCCTTCCATAAGTCAGCATCAAGAGAGGAATATGCCTCTTCAATGGTCGTTGGTGTGTCATCCACAAGGTACATATGGTGTGTCATCCACAAGGTACATAATATAGTCATCACCAAAAGACTTTGCAGTCCTCTGTCTCTTACTTTTTCTTGTGACTATAGTGTCATCCTCCTCAAGATTTGCATATAGGGTTCCTCAGTTTGCTCTATCGGAATAAAATTTTCATGCTCATGAAAAATTATAAATTCATGTCTAGTCGTGCTAGGTGCATTTTTCATGGGAAACTCATTCTCAAAAAATATAGCGTCTTTAGATTCCATGATTGTATCAACAGTCATCTCAGGAACACTAGAGTTTATGATTAAACATCTGTAACCCACGCTGTGAATAGCATAACCAAGAAAGACACAATCAATAGTCTTTGGTCCAAGCTTTCGTTTTTTATTTATTGGCACATTCACCTTTGCCAAACAACCCCAAGTTCACAGGTAAGAGAGATTTAATCTCTTCTTCTCCCATTCCTCGAATGGTGTAATTTATTTGTTCTTTGTGGGCACTCTATTCAGGACATGGCATGCTGTCAATATAG